ATATATATGTATATATATATGCGAGCAGGTTTTAATACATGAATAATTGTATAACTCCGTTCACATATACTATGAAGGAGCATATATAAGGAATCATTTAAAAAATGATGAAAGCGATTTCAATATTTCTTTTTATTCCCATACATTTGCACATATGCAAATATAAATACTGAAATATATAAATAATAGCAGATGTGAGTGGGAATAATAGGACGCTGGTGCGTATATACAACCCACACACATATGGAATGGATATAGATATGAAAGTGAGCAAAAAAAAGAACCAATTTCGTAAATTATTATTCAGTCGTTATTCTAAATATCTATCTGTGGCATAAGGTACCGACCGCAATACACCACACATACATATATGCAATTTCTTACGCGAAATAGCAATTTTAAATTTGCATTTAAAAACAGCAACAAGAACACAGAACAATCATTCAGTTCACATATCAGTTGATCTAACACCTTCATCATTCAGCTAACATATACAGATGATAATGATTCAGCTAACATATACAGCCGCAGTATGAAACTGAGAAGGAGACATGTTGATAACTTAATTGAATTACTTATTCACTCATTGCTGTTACCATTTATCTTTTTCCTTGTTTAGATCAAAAAGAGTCATCATTAAAAGAATGAGATGAAGATGACGAAAGGAAAACGAAGAAGCTCTGACAATAATGAAATTCTGAAATGGAAGATCGAATGAAAGTAATAAAAAACAATCAGTCAATCCCAAATAAAAAACAACTTGCAAGCAAATGATGAATAAGCGACGTCGACGAGGACTGGAAATCATTTAATAATTGCGCGAAAGCAAACCCATGGACATGGACTATAGATGATCGCAAAGAGTACACGACTAAATAAATATGATAGGACTAATGATGAGGTGAATACAGTGGTCAATGATGATAGTCAAGTGGCGTGTACGCATAAAATGAGGTAGTTTCCTGCAGTAGACATGAAAACAACCTTCTTGAAACGACAAGAAATGCCAATCGATCACATGTGACGAGAAGAAAAACGGATGGATTTAAAAGAAATTACTTTTTCTAAACAACAGTCTTCAGGTTCAGTAGACGGAGTTATATTCTGTAACAGAATGCAATATGCCGGCATAATAATATGAGACACGCATCTCAGAGCATGCTTAATCGCACGCCGGATATTCAAATATAAGCTTTCAGGATTTCGAAGGGGGAAGGGAGGCATTTCTCTTTGCTCCACCATTCGAACGACCATTAAGGATGGTGATAATGTGAACGCATATGTTCGATTCGGTACTAAACGACTCAAAAAAAAAACACATATGCGCCATTAGAATAACTAAGCGCGTTGTACGCGATGTGATTAAGATTACATCGAATTCTTCGCTGATCCACTCCCTTATCTTTAACAAATTCAAGAAAATAACTCAGATTATAACAATTCATTACTTTTTTTCTGCAGATCATTTATGTAATATTTGGCTTAGAAATAGAAAAAAATAACAATTTTATGTGCGACAAAAATAACAATTTGGATGTTCTACAGGGAACAGCTTATTCTTACATCAAATCTTCCCACCGAAACAAATTATGCAAATTAATTCATTTTCATGCATCCAGAATCGCCTAAATCTTGACGAATAACTTCGAAGGTGTGAGCACAAAGGTGTCTAACTGTAAGTTTATAATAGTCAATAATAACAACAAAAATAGTATCGAGCCAGGGGAAAGCAAATTCTTTTCGGATCAGAACAACTATTTCGAGAAATTTGCTTCTTCTAAAGTGAACAAGCAATAGTTTTCAGTTATTTGTTCGTTTATGGCATGGAAAGTGGAGAAGATAGGTATTGTTTTTTGGTTAAACAACAGAATGTTCGTGAAGTTGTGGTGTAGAAATAAAATGACTGTGTGCGGTACAAGATATTACATCTTTAAGTGAAATGAAACAAATAACGCTACTGAAAATCTGAATAGAAAATGGAAATTGTGACAAAATGGTTTCAATTCAGAAATAATGAAAATGATTCTATTTTTGAATGGAATTAATCAACGAAATTTAATGAAAGTAAAAGAAAACAAGCGATAAAAAACATCCAAGAGAACAGACCAGCTGAAACGGCCGCCAATTGTTGCTGTTGAGCTGCCTGAATTTGTTGTAGCAGTACCGGTGAAACACCGCTTTGCATCAGTTGTTGCATTGCAGTCAGGCCCACGGGCGGTTGGCCGGGCGTTTGAAATGCCTGCGGTGTTGCGCCCGCTGAGAGCTGATAGAGCGCTTGCATATTCTGAAAAATTTCTCGGCAATTAGTTAATTGACAAATAGTTGAGGAAAGAGGCACAACGAAGAATGGAACTAGATTTGATGAATTGAAGAAAATATTCAATGACGAAAACGAAGACGATGCTTAATTTATTACCACTTTCGCTCATTATTCAAACAATTGAAACGATAACTTCCACACTTTCGTAAAAAATGAATCACCTTGGAAACACTGCTAAAATCATAACAATAAGGTAATGAATGATTAACCTAAACGTACTAATGTGCACATTCATAAATAATTACACACATATAAAAATATTTCTAAACTTGTTTCTGAGCATATGGATTCCGATTTTTTTAGTCCAACTATTTTGATCCACATAAATTCACTTTAACCATTCATTACAAAATGTTTCACACTGTTGAAATGATCTAATTTTTGAAAAAAAAAAGCTAAAGGTTTGGTGGTGTTTAGGCATGAGCTCAGTTGTTGGCTTCCTTGCAGAACGAAGATGCTAATTGTAAGGCTCCATCTAGGATATCTACATGGTGGACATTCTGATACGAATGCGCATATACTGACTGATGGGTGGGCAGTCGGAGAAGCAGCTAGTGAGCGGACAAACGAACAGCCATTCACAATACACATAAAAATGTGAATGAATGCAATTTTTGATTGTCATTCAATTGAATAAACGAAACAAATAAGCAAAAAAGAATGAATCGATTCGAACGAATTCATTATCAGAAGTAGCAACAATAAGACTTTGCTTGATGCTTACTGCTAACAAATCATTATTCATATATCTTTAAATTATCTTTAAATACTATTCAACAATTCTGATTCGGATTCCTCTTCACACTCGTCTCTAACAATTATTTATTTGCAGCATCATACTTTTACTATCTCTATTCATTACGCTACCCTATTCAAACTAATTGCTTAAACTAACTAGCAACCAACACACGAAATGTTGTTGCTAATGCTATACTTCTTTGTGCACTAGAAGAAACACTTAGAGCGCATAACAACTGCTAGTCGTGTAAGATAAAATTCAAACTCAGATATTACTCAACTAGATTCATTCATTCATCCATCCATCCATCGGTGATAAACGCGACGTTCTCTTTTCTTTTCAACGAATATACACACACACACACATTTGTGATTATGTCGCATACAACATTCATTCTTTTCTACATTTAAACAAATTTTATAATTTGATTATTCTCGTCTATTGAGAGAGGGGTGACTGCCTGAGTGGATTAAGTAATTATAACGTGCTATTCGGCACGTCCGCGCTACTAGCTAGCACGCCTCTAGAATACATGTTACACGAGTACATATCGATGTACTCGTATAATGTTTACGTATTTGTATGTGTTACGAAACAATCGTAAGCGATCATAAGAATCACAATACGAACAGTCATTGTTGAGGCGACAAAACTAATCCATGAATTCTATGAAATTGCACAACTTTTTGTACGAGAATAATTTTGATCAATCCTTTGATTAAGACAGATCACTTTCAAACCTTAATTAATGAATTAATAATTGACAAAAGAGTAAACACTGATATAGCACGCTGACGAGATGAACGATTGGATATGGTTGGTTGAATTGAGAATGGATGGGTGGATCAGAGCAGATAGCCGATAGGTAGGCAGTAGTCTGTCAGTTTAACTCGTACAGCAATCGAAATGGACAAGATTATTGCAGTTTATACTGACGAGACGATAAGTAGTACATCCGAAGTATCAAGTTAGCTGCCGCTCTGCTAAGGACATCAACGGTAGCAACGAACCCAAAGTAAGAATAAGAAATTGTTGATGGTAGACCACCACTAGCTGCTGCTACTGTTCGTAGTTAATGCTCTGACTATGAATAGCTAACAAGGCTTCAGGTTTCAAAGCCGGAAATCAGTTCATTTGTTAGAGGCCCATTAAGGCTTGAGCGAATCATCTAAAAAGCTATATTTTTTATCAATAATGACAACAAAACTGCGTGATTGCACCAAATCTCACAAAACCCCTCTCTTTAAGTCGCAACGTTGTTCAGTAATCGTATAAAAGTTTTATCCAAATGAATGAATAAATGAACGAAAACGGATAAATATTGTCCGAGCATGCATTCTTACATTATTATGAAAACCAAAGGCAAGCATTAGCATAAACTTTTTGTTTGTTTGGTTTAACATTAGGTTGGAGTAGGTCGTTGCTCTATGGGTTGTACTGAAAACGATTGCTGTACTGATGACTGACTCACACATACTTTTATCTAGTATCTGTAAAGATATCACACCTCACAAACTACCTAAACAGATCAAGTCTTTGATTGAACTGAGCCGTTCTCTGTGTGCACATCGATAGCAGCATCTAGCATCGGACAGGCTTCAGTGAGTGACCATCACAACCCTAATCCATTCATTCCTCCTCTTCTTATTCTCCCAATAAGCAATCAACAAATCTATCTGTCTGTCTATTAAGCTATCTATCCATCCATCTCATTTATCTCAATCAAATCAGACCCCCCAGATGTTCTTGCTATGAATGCGAATGTGGCTATTGCTGCTATTGTTGCTGTTGCTGCTCTGTACTAATCGATCAGTACAGACAATGATCACAACTGATCAATGAATCGATCGTGCAAATTGGCTAGCTAGGATTAGCTGTCTTAACGAGTTGATTTGTCAACACCATTTGAGCGAAGAAACTTGACTACGGAAAAACCATCATCAGTATATAACTTTGCTTCTTCGAAGCGATCGATAATGATCACGATTAAGCCGATAATGATGATACTATAAGATCACGAAATGAAACTGTTGAAAATTCATCAGTGAAAGATGAATGACAAAAACACACTCACTCATCGACGTTCCATTTTCAAATTAACGAAATGACAGTCAAACCAAAATACATAATTTAGGTACGCATTTTTTTATGCGGCAAAAAGAAAATTTCGACACAACAACGATCGGTGCACGTGTAATGAACGTCTGTGCATTTGCGGGCAGCCACCAAGAAAGACTCACATCGACCAGACCCGACCAGACCCACCCAACAAGCGGGTGAAATTCCAAAAATTTATTGCTCGTCATTTGGTTGGTTGTCATCTGCTTGCTAGTCGAGTGCTCATATTGTTGATGTGGTTGCTGGTGAATGAACAACAAATATTAACAGGAGTAGTAGGAATTTGAATTATTATAGTGCCGACTGATTGATCATTACTGCAACGCTGAAACTGATTGCAGTTTTAGGCGAACGGCACTAGCCAGTTGCATAATCCTTTTCAAGCAAATGTGATCAACAAGAATTACGTACGTGCATACGTTTGCGTGCACATGCACATAATGTTACTTCAATGTGATTGATTGTTTGCATGATGATCATTTTTTGGTGTACTGCTTCGTTTATATGTACATACATATAAATTTATTTATTTTCAGAGAACAATTATCTTGAAAATATGAAGGATAAATCTGAATATAAAATATTCATAAAATACTTCATAATAGACGAGACACCACACAGAGAGACATTGTTCTTTTGAATGTTGCTGGTACAGCAAGTGCTAAATAACTGCTTCGAGGTAGCGGTGAAACTTTTTGGCGCTATTCATTCCCAAACTGACAATCAACAAAGAAGGTTTAAAGTCAGTCGTCAGTACCCGTTCCAAGTTCGCTTGAGATGATGGAAAAGACTGGCATTTCATAGCGTAAAAAATGATCATAACAGACATGCACGCGACTAATAAAATTCGATAATAGAGTAGTGCCGAAGTTCACTTTTGATAAGCACTGAATTCGGTGAAAGTCAAAATGAGACGAAAAAGATTTGTTCATAAATGAATTCAAGTGAACCACCCAAAAAATGAGAGCGCATATTTTCGCTTATTTATCAGCTTTCGACGAAAGAAAGTCCCGCTTTGTACGCCTATTTATGAACAACTCTCAACAGTCACTAAAACGATTCCAATGAACGATTCCTTCGAAAACAACACAGTTTCTAAAGTTTGATTCAAGTATACAGCTCGTTCATAGTCAAAGATTTCCTTGACTGGTACACTTCAGGGCTTCAGTCGCTTATTTACTGAAACTGACAAGACTCTCGATATAGCAGTCGATGAATTCAATCAAATAAATTACTTACCTGTTTACAATTCATCAGGCACTGTTTTTTGTTTGAAAAGTTTTGATCAGTAAGCAATAGTGTTATGTAACTGTTTGTTTTTAAGTAAGTGCAGTTTTGTTTTTGATTTGATTGACACGCTTTGCAATGGTAAATAAATGACTTTCGTCATCAATAAGTTGTTTTTGCAAACGGTGTTTCAACAAAAAAGATCATTTACAAGCAATATGTCATTTGTAATAAACAGCAATTAGAATGAAAATATTTCTCGTGAAAACTGCATTAACAATCAGAAAATAGAGCGTCAATAAACATCTACAGACCAATATTTGAAAATGGTCATTTACTTTCAAACTCAACAATTGCAAACTAGCAGTAATATATAGAAAAAGGTTTTTGCAGAGATGAAAAGGTTTCTACAGTCGACTACTCTCAGTAAAACAGACCTACAGAAATTCAACCAGCAATTAGTGAATCCAACTCTCTAATTAATGAAATCTTCAATCAACTATTTTCTATTGGCGAATCAATCCGCCCATGTAACGCAATCTCTTCCTAAGTAGCCCGCCCGTACAACTGTCTGAACTGATCAAGTGAAAACCATTTCCGATGAGAACTAAGTTTCGTTCATTTTAGTCCTTTACCCATACTATTGCGTTAAAAAAGAGTGAATACATGACGATAGGATACATGCTGTCGATCTCATTCTGCTCAACAATAAGTCATTCGGCATAATCGCGTGATGTGTTGTGCATTACGAAAATTGGGCTCACTATTCAGTCCTTTCTGAACGCAAACTTATATCGGATCAA